TTAACAACAAAGGCTGGAAGATGAGTACGTTTTCCGTACCTACAAGCGGGATTTCCGTAACGGTCTGTTACTAGCAGGGGGGTACTGTGGCGAATACAAAAATAGAATACGTACAATTTTGTATATTAATTTTTCATATTTTTGTACATGTGTAAATATTGTAAACCTTTCGCTTCTTATCTTGTGCATGCCTTTGTTTCTTTTCAAACTAAATTCTATTGTTCCGCTATCGCTATCTTTACCTACAATTTCATCGTCTTCGATACATACTTAACAACCAATAATAATAGCTGGCTTTCCCTCGCTTACTTTTTCTTCGAATTCTATTCTATTCAATTTCAACAAGTCTGTACATATTCTGTTAGTACTTTTCTTTCTAGAATGTTCTCCCTCTATTTACTAACAATCCTGTTATATAAATACCCTTCAAATTTCCTACTTATTGACCAGTGTTCAGTAACCAGTAACCAGTCTACCTCTTGATAATTCGTGTTTTATATTGTTATTATTTGTTGTTGTTCTTATGTTGTTTTTGAGTGTTGTTCAGTCTTATTAAACTTTTGTATATATTCTTCATTTGTGTTGTGTTTTGTGTTACGTTCCTTTTGGTACAAAAATTATTAGTGCTTTTATAAAAGGCGCTAAAGTCATATATGTAACCAATAACTTTTAATCATCTGTCATATATGTTCATATGCAACTGTATGTGTTNTCAAGAGCAAAACACCAAGCGATTGCTGGAAAACGAACCACTTGGAGATCGCAAGTCAACGCAGTCCCTTCGACATTTGTAGCAATCTTGCCAGCTGTGAATTCCCCGAGGACGTTCTGCAAACCCTGTGGCTAACTCGCCTACCGAAACATGTCCAGGCCCTGAACAAGAACCATTAGCGAAGAGAGCGGAGATTGCTGACAACATTATGGAAGCGTATGGACAATTTAACAACATTGCCGAAACGTCAACATAGACTAACACGGTTAACAGCAGAATGGACTTTTTGGAAAATGCGTTAACAACAGCCCTGCAGGAATTAGCCGCAATTAAAATCAACCGGACTCCTCCACATCAGCCTCGACGTTTTCGAACAAAATTACGCTCACGTTCACGTTCACAACCAAGAGGAAAAAGTGACACTTGCTGGTACCATGTGCGTTTCGGGAATAATGCAAAAAGATGTGCGAAACCCTGTAACTTCGAAGCCAATTCTCCGGGAAACGACATGGGCAGTCGTTGATGGCGACCAATGACAGCAGCCCTACGCACTCCCGCCGATTATTTATCACAGATGGTTCAACGAAAATAAGGTATTTAATTGATACTGGAGCCGACCTATGTGTGTTTCCGCGTGCACAACTTCCGCAACATAGAGAAAAGTCAACCTATGAACTTTCCGCTGCTAACGGCACCATTATCTCAACATATGTAATACTAACGTTGACCCTCGACCCTCGACCTAGGACTTCGACGACAGTTTACATGGCGATTTGTTGTGGCTGACGTTTCGAAACCTATCATCGGCGCAGACTTCCTCTCACACTTTGGGTTATTAGTGGATATGAAGAACAAACGTCTTCTAGACTTAACCACTCCTCTCGCATCCCACGGGAAAGTGATTGAGTGCAAGTCATCCTCCATTAAGACTGTTACAGACTCCTCACCGTTTCATGACCTTCTGCAACAATTTCCGGGAACAACCCGACCAGGAGGCACTCTCACGTATGCAGCCCATTCGACAAAACATCATATAATCACCACTCCTGGACCACCCGTCGCGCAGCGACCACGACGACTTGCTCCCGACAAGATGAGAGCTGCAAAGAAGGAATTTGAGGCCATGGTTCAGTTGGGCATCGCTCGTCCTTCCAAGAGTCCCTGGGCATCACCGCTGCACATGGTCCCTAAAACAGGCGACGAATGGAGACCCTGTGGCGATTATCGCGCCCTCAACGCCAGAACGTGCCCTGACCGGTATCCTGTGAAGCACATCCAGGACTTTTCACAGTCACTAAGCGGGAAAACCATATTTTCCACGATAGATCTTGGTACGTGCATTCAACCAGATCCCAGTTGCTGAACAGGATGTCCCGAAAACCGCAATCACAACACCATTCGGTTTATTTGAGTTCACGCACATGAGCTTTGGGTTACGCAATGCAGCGCAAACTTTTCAACGCTTCATCGATGAAGTTCTGCAAGGCCTAGACTGTTGCTATGCCTACATCGATGACATTTTGGTTGCGTCTACGTCGTTGGAGGAACATCTGGACCATCTACGAACTCTATTCGGGAGACTTCAGGAATATGGAGTAATAATCAACCTGTCCAAATGTGTGTTCGGCCAACCGGAGGTTAAATTTCCTGGCTACTTAGTTTCCGGTGCTGGTACGCATCCGTTACCTGATAAAGTGGACGCCATTCGTTCCTTCCCGCTCCCACAGACCGTGAAGAAGCTTCGCCAGTTCCTAGGGATGGTAAACTTTTACCGAAGATTCATTGCGAAGGCAGCAGAAATTCAAGCACCGCTCAATGACCTCTTACAAGGCAACGTAAAAGGGAAACCCTGTGTCGTGGACACCGGTAGCTACACGAGCTTTCGAAGCTTCTAAAGACGCCCTTTCGCAAGCTACTCATCCCTAGCAATTTTCACAGACGCCTCGAATTACGCCATCGGAGCTGTCCTGCAGCAATACGTCGACGACCATTAGCAACCATTGCATTTCTTCTCCAAAAAATTCAGTCAGACCGAGCAAAACTACTCCGCTTACGACCGAGAATTGTTGGCCATTTATCTTGCGGTTAAACATTTTCGGTACATTGTAGAGGGACGACCATTTACAATTTATACAGACCATAAACCGATAACCTACGCGTTCATGAAGAAGCGCGACCATTATTCTCCACGGCAAGTCAAGCATCTGGATTTCATTGCCCAATTTTCCTGTGACGCAGACATCGTTGCGGGTGCCTTATCTCGTGTTGAAGAACTGCACACCGTTCTAGATTACAAAGCGCTCGCAGAAGAACAGAAAACGGACCCGGAATTGAAAGAGTTTCTCGCAAATGATTCAGCGGGCCTGCCAACCGCTATCGCAGCGAACAAAGATTTTCCTGCGAGTATCCCAGTACTGCAACAACAGTCTTCCTGCTAGCCGAGTACAGCAAATTTAACAACAAAGGCTGGAAGATGAGTACGTTTTCCGTACCTACAAGCGGGATTTCCGTAACGGTCTGTTACTAGCAGGGGGGTACTGTGGCGAATACAAAAATAGAATACGTACAATTTTGTATATTAATTTTTCATATTTTTGTACATGTGTAAATATTGTAAACCTTTCGCTTCTTATCTTGTGCATGCCTTTGTTTCTTTTCAAACTAAATTCTATTGTTCCGCTATCGCTATCTTTACCTACAATTTCATCGTCTTCGATACATACTTAACAACCAATAATAATAGCTGGCTTTCCCTCGCTTACTTTTTCTTCGAATTCTATTCTATTCAATTTCAACAAGTCTGTACATATTCTGTTAGTACTTTTCTTTCTAGAATGTTCTCCCTCTATTTACTAACAATCCTGTTATATAAATACCCTTCAAATTTCCTACTTATTGACCAGTGTTCAGTAACCAGTAACCAGTCTACCTCTTGATAATTCGTGTTTTATATTGTTATTATTTGTTGTTGTTCTTATGTTGTTTTTGAGTGTTGTTCAGTCTTATTAAACTTTTGTATATATTCTTCATTTGTGTTGTGTTTTGTGTTACGTTCCTTTTGGTACAAAAATTATTAGTGCTTTTATAAAAGGCGCTAAAATCATATATGTAACCAATAACTTTTAATCATCTGTCATATATGTTCATATGCAACTGTATGTGTTTGATGAGACCTTCACTACCGTTTGCTCTACCGCTATTGACCTACAGTTGAACATAAATTTTATAGGACAAAGAATAAGTCTATTTTATTGTTGCCGATTTTATTAACTATTACAATCACAATCTATTATTTAATAATATCTATATAAAAAATACAGTTAGACTTAGAACATGAATAAATACCGAATAAAGTTGCCAATGCTCATTATCTGCGGGATCCATTCGAATAAAATTGGTAGCTGGGCAGTGTTTATAATCTTCTGTAGATTATGTTTTGCAAAAGTATAGGAATACAATTCGTTTTGAATCCATCAGTTTAGTAACTTTATTTTTCAACTTGTTTCAAAATTTTCAGTTAATTTTAGATATCTCAAAACATTCTTCAACATTTTCCAATGTACTTTAGCATACCCATTCTAAAACTCGCTGAAATAGATAATTGCATAGCTTAAATCGAGCCTACCACCTAGCATTACATTAAATGACGTATCAATTCTCTATAAGGTAGGCAATTTTAAATTCTAATTCTTGATTGATGTAGGTACATATTCGTTTTTGGTTGAATAGGAACCTCTGCCATCTTATAATACAACATGCCAAATTTTGTTAAAATCTTTTTGACTTGATTAACAATGTTTAGACCTAAAAATTTTAAACACATATTCCTTAACATACTTGCGCAAACTGTAAACGTACGGGTTTATACGTTTGTGTTTGTGTACGTTTTTGTGCCCTATTAGTACTAAACGCGTCTTTTTAGCTATTTTCGCACTGATTTTTTTTATTAAAAGCACTCATACAGCTTTCCATGTTTTCCTGAACTACCCGCCTGATGACATCTTTAGTTTCGCCTCCCGAAAACTCGCCCCATTCTAGCTCCTCATTTCAAAATCTATGTCCAATTGCGCCATCCTTTCGATTGGTTGCTGGAGGTCCCGCATCACCTTATCACTTTTCTTATATTATTTATAGCTTACTTACGAGCACCTGGCACCTGCGGTAATCTCACTTCTGAACTATAACACACTAATTTCTCTCTCAATAGGTATAGCTTTATTTTTACTTTTCTAATATCTCTCTATTGCTATGGTACCTCCTCGGTTTCGTCGCAGCGTGTTTTTTTTTGTTATTGTTGGTATTGTTTACTGTGTATTATTCCGTGCCTCTTGTAATGACTGATCTTTCAACTCAATTTCAATTCAGGGTTCTTTTGTCCTGCGAGCTGTACGTTTGAAAGTATTTTTTTGTCGCTTTGCTATTTTAATTAATTCCACGATGTCGTTGGGGATGAAGTTACCTTTGGTTCTGGTGTGGGTATGTTGTTGGATCGTTTCCCATATCTATTTTTCGAGGATGAGTGTTACCTATTCCAGTTTTTCCTTGTCTGGGAAGTTAGATTGAGTCTTGCAGCTCTCCTTGGAGGGTTGATTTGAATTCGACCCAGTTTATAGTTTTTATTTGCAGAATGTTCTTTTCTGTCCTAGATGGAGGATGATGGGATTGTGGCCTGACATTAGGTCGCTATCTTCGATGGAGGTTATGTGAAATCGTTGAGCAATATTTTTTAATCCGGCTATGTCCAGACTGTCTGACGATTTCGTTGGCTCATGGTGATGGGTTGGTTCAGTTGGTGCTATAAGTAGTAGTTGTCGGTCGGCGTATTGTTTGAAGTGTTTTCCTCTAGTGTTTTCTATTTTTGAGTGCCAATCGTGGTTCTTTCTGTTAACGTTTCATATGATTATTTTTTATGTATTGCCTTCTAGTAGTTTATTCAGCTCGTTGACATGTAGCGGCGGTTGGTTAGTTTTTCTTGAAGGGTAGTAGACGCTGAATATGTAAGTAGTTCCTATATGTTTGATGTTTAGCTGGATTCCTGTGGCTTTTATTATGTTTTCTTTTGAGGTGGGTGGGAACAAGTCGTGGTCGATGGAGTTTTTAGTTGAGGATTCGGGGGATTTAGGATGGTTTGAGTAATGTTTCTCTAATCCACATGATGTCGATGTTTTGAGATGTTACTTAGTGTTTTAGAACGTTGATTTTTCCTGGAAACGATTGAGCCCCAGTATGCTATTTTTTTGGTTGGCGGGTGTTCTTTTTATGGAGTTCTTCATAGGTTGGGTAGATTTAACAGTTGTTTGGTGCAGTTAATGAATTTTGTTGTTGTTAGGTTTAGCATTGTATGAACATTTCTCCAATAATTTTGGCTGTTTCTTCTTTGTTTTTAGTTGATGAGTATTCTACTTTTGTAATTTGGCTGCAAGTTGGGGTTTAGAGTTTTGGTGGTTACTCTGTTTTCTTGTTTGGGTTCTCTGGACCTTTCCTGTAGTTTGCGATATGCTCCTGTGCAATTACCACATTTTCCGGGTTGTTTGTGGTTTAGTACACAAATGAGTGGAGTAGTTGCCTACACATTTTAGGCACCTAAATTCTGCTTTGCAGCCAGCTTTCAAATTTCTGGCAGGGGTAGCATTGTCGTGAGGTTTACTTTTTGAATAGGCTTTCTACTATTATATCTAGATTGCAACATTGTTATAAGTTGTAAGTTGACTTATAAATACGGTCTATTTCTATTTTTACGAGGAAGATTTCGTGTCCGAGTCTGTTGATCAACCTTGCTGCTTTGATTTCTGAGTATCCTTGTGTGTGAAGGTCCTTTGCTATATCTTTAATGCCTATTGAGGGAGGGATGCCTCTAAGAACAACTTTTAGTTTCCTTTCTTTTCTAAGTTTATATGTGTAGTAGGTACTGTATGAGATCGTCGAATGTTTTGGTCATGGCCTTATGTATCATTGGCTTCCGAAAGTCCTCTCTTACACTTATTCAATGCATCATACTCTTCTTCTGAAGGTTCGTTGTGATGGTTGCAATTACAGTCATTTATACTTTTTCACTCTAGAGCATCAGGTTGACAAGTTGTACATTGGTAGATAACAGTCTCTCATCATTGCGAGTCAGATTGCGACGATTATCATATATTCTTTTACGCAAGAGAGTCCGCTTAATGTTTGGAGTTGTTTTGGTATCTTGACATCTTAATAAGAAAGCTAGCAAACTGAGTAGCTCCGCTTTCCTTTTGCGTTGTTAAACCAGTGGATACATCCTTCCCGTATAGGGGCTTATTCAGAAGTAGCGAAGTTTTCCGGGATTAAAAGTGCTACTGTGCTTCTTTTAATTGAAAACTTTTCTTTTTGTTTAACCAAAAACAGGTGCCGATTCCAGGAATCTTCAAAAAACTTATACTTTCATTTCTATTTTTTGGTTATTACTTTTTAGCAATAGCATGTTATTGGCTCTTAAGATAATTCAAATCATTTGTACAAAAGCACATAAATAATACATTGTGCCACGTGGCGTCACAATAGGCGACTAGCATTAAAGATATCCAAATGATTTTTTTTTAATTTTGAATGTCATTGAGGGGTGATACCATTAATACTTCAGTCAAAAGGAAACTTCATAATTTTAATTGAGCATTTAAAGTAGGCTTTCCTAAACTCAGTATTAACTAAAATTATAGTTTTTATTAATGTAACTAAATATACCGCAACAGTCAAATGTAAATAAAAAAAAAAATAAAAACGTTTGTTGAGTTAAAATAATTTCGAGAAAACACGATAGGTGTTAATCATAAAGAGTTACAACTATTTCTTTTATTTGTCATCCAACAATATTAAAAATACAATTTTATTATAACCTTGGAATCGAAAAATGCAATAAAATTATCCAACATGTATAGGGAACACATGTTTTATTTAAATTTAAGACATAGTAGTTCAAAGCTGTTATGGCAAACACCTTTACGTATTTATTTTTATTGCAACTAAAAACAATAAGTAGACATATATATCTCTAAACCATGTGTTACTTAATTTTTATCTTTGCGAAATGCTTTAAAAATATTGGTCAATTCATCCATGAGAGTTTCATATCTGAAAGCAACTCTTACATCGGGTACATTTGTACGACTGATGTCATTACCAGCAACACCTTCTTTAGTATAGTTTGGACCCAACCAGTACTGCTTCATTTTGTGAGGAAATCCAGACATCAAAACACTATTTCGAGCTAATTCACACATATCACAACTAGATAATTTCCAAACTTGGGCCGCAATACTATACTCTTCCATAAGAGGCTCTTTTGTGAAATGAAATTGTAATGGATCATCCGTTGACAAAGACACTATTAATCCTCTCGCTAAGTATTCAGGAAGAGGATTGCGGTGATAATTTAAAAACAAACTATTATTAGAAAGAGGGCTCATTGCAATGCCAACTTGAGCTAAGTAGTAAAGGTACTGTAAAACCGGAACTTTTCTCAGAAGTAAACCGTGAGATATATTTTCTGACAACAAAAATCCGCAAACTAAATGTTGTACAGGACCAGCTTCGCCGCAATGGGGTCTTAACACAAATGTATTGAGCCCTCTTTCAGAGCGAAAATGATTTACAATAGCCATATTAGCGTACATGTAATATAAATAATAGCCGTATGGGGGATTTTCTTCATCTGACCAAACTTCTGGAGTAGGAACATCTTTATCAAATAATGGATTTTCCGGTTTACTTTCGTCATCTACAGAGTCAAAACCAATAACATACTGCAGAAACCGATGTAACTCGGGATGTGAAGTTGGTTTCATTGTCACCTCCAAAAGTGGTAAAAAAATATTTTCCAATATTTGTTGAAAATTCTCCACTATTTGATTTGATTTGAAAATGTCACTGAAAAGTAAATTTATAATTAAAAAATATACAAGTGATTACAATTTCCTTTAAATATATGAACTTTAGGTATATAAACTTCACTGATTCACCGATCAGCAGTGAAACTATTTTTAACTAATCGTAAGTGTAAACAATGGAAAATGGTTTTTAATGTTTCAATAAGAGTTTACAGGTCTTTACCAAAAGTACGCGGGAATTATACATTGAAAAGCATTTTCTTTGTTTACGCTCATATTAATGTCAACTAAACTAACCAAAAACAAGCAGCAAACAACAAAAACTGTTCTACTTACTAAAGTCTAGGTATTTGAATTAGCCAGCGAACGTTGTCAGAGTATACATTAGATTCAATCGCCCAGTGTGCTAACTTGTCCCATTCTTCTCTACTTTTGCCGTATATACTTAACCTTAGTTCAGCATTTTGATATTTAGATTCTTCTAAATCACTAGCTACTTCTTTTATTATTCTTGCAAAATATTTCCCATTTAAATAATTATCAGTTTTGAGAAATACTTCACGTAATCTGCTTTCACCAATAGGATTATATTTGGCATTGAATTTGTCAAATCGATGAAAAGTATTTCTATCTGCATGCACATCCAACATATCAACAGTTAGATCATAAGTAGTCAAATTCATCGACTGAAATCATAACAGCTTTTAAACAAAAATCATTACAGGATTACAATACACAATGAGAAGGTGGCATATATATGTAAGTTACCTGAAAAACTTCTTTTAACGTCATTTTTTGGGAGTTATTGATTGTTACAACTTCATCTGCATGGTTCTTTAATGTTTTCTTAATGAATCGTAGTAAATGCTTTTGATTCATACAAGAAGCTGCGTGAATGTGAGTATCAACCTTACGTATGTTATAGAAATCTCTATGTGGAACAGCTTTTTGGGATGCAAGTTCCCTTAATTCATTTAACAGTACGTGAAGGGAGTATTTTGACGATAGGTAACTTAAACGACGATAACAAAAAGATTTTCTAAAAACGCAATTAATGTTGATAAAATTCATTCTCAACTATTTCACCTACACTTACAAAGGTCCATCTGCAATCATGTTGCATAAGCAATTCATATCGCTCACAAATGTTGCTAAGTCAGGAAATTGGTAATCAATACTTTTATCTGCATTTAAATCGTCTTTGCTTGGGTAGATATGATAGATCCCTTTTTTAGCTTTAATGTAGTAAGGAAGATCGGGTGGAAAAGGTACTTCCCACGGATTAAATCGACCGCTTGGGGGATGTATACCATGTTCTGTAAATAATTATCACTAATAGGTATATTACATTAATTACTCCAGAATTTCAACATTTTTTGGTTTTTGTTACAATTACAATATCATTTAGCAAGTGTGTCGTGTAATCATCGCATAATCTCTACACAATGCGATAGAGAAAGAAAATTCAAATCAAGTCCTGTCCTTTTTTCTAACATATAGTTTTTGTTGAACTTTAATAGCACCATTGACTCGTTGTCCCAATTAGCACGCTTGTAACGTTAATTTATGACCATCTGCAAAAAACACCGGAAATTTACAGTTGATAAAAGAGCTATCTTTCTGTTTAGAATATATTTGTAGTGTTATGCGCACCCACTAGTCGCCACGAAGGGCAAAGTCAGATCATATAAACTGTTCAGCCGATAGTTTTACATTGAAGGTGGGAAAAATACAGGCAGCTATCGATACTGATTTCACATCACTTTGGGACTTTCGCTTGCCCAAAGCGTCGCGACAATAAAAAATGAATGCGTTTGTTCCAGTTATTGTAAATTCGTTGTATCAATTAATGGTTAGTTTTCACGGTAATATAAAGGGCATGGCAACAACTAACTTTGTGAATGTTGTCTTTCCCTACCGTAACCTAATGATCATAAGCAATCAAACAGTAAAAATCTTAAATAAAATATTCATTACGTCTGGTGTGACTAAAGCTCGCATTGGCGAACATTCCCGAAGAGCATTTGAAAACTTCATTTAATCCAAGAATACTAGGAGAAAATAGCATTCAAAATGTTTTCGATTCATCTATAAAAGGGTAATTCAAAACAGAAGACATGTTTCTTCAGTTTTATTAGTTGTTATTTTTCTACTAATTTTGAAATTATGCACCCCAAACTGTCACTGGTCCGATGAGAATTTTCTAATCGAGATCGTATTCTATAAAGAAATGATGTAGGACTTTTCTATTTGAATTTTCATGCGATCATTGCAGAACATCCTACAGATGATTTGAGAAATACAGTTTTCGTTATTTTTTAACGATTTCTATACCATCAGCACATAAAAATGGTAATGGAATGCTTATTACTCGAATAATGTGCTATGATGTTTATTATACAAAATACCTACCGTATGCTTGTACAACTAGTGAAAAGGTGAGAAATTTAACAGAAATTAGCTGAAACCAATGCTGCTTTTGGGCCTCAAAGATAACAGGGGACTAGTTTTCATAAAAATATCTTTTTTATTAAAAATTTTTGAATACTTAAAATACTGTATCATTAATTAAATTAATATTATGAATACAATATTATTTATAAATGCAACAATGATTGTGCGTACCTATTTATAATTATTACTATCTTAATATAGCTGTTTCAATAAATAATAGCTCATTTTATTTATTTAAATACGGTTTTTGTTCTATTAAACCATTTTCGATAGAGGGGAGAAAGGGGACCTCATTTTAAACCTGCGTTCCTCTTCACTTAAAGCCAGCACTGGCTGAAACTTTCGAAAAATTTTTAGACGCTTAATGGAAAGAATAAAATATTGAAATTTCAGATTTTTTAATTGACTTATATTTGTATTATTTATACCTGGCGTTATGAGATAACTGAAAAAAAGTAGAAAAAATTATGTAATTAATTATCTACAGTACTAGAACTGTTCAGTATTAAAAAAAAGATAAGTAAAAACACGACAAAATCTATGGAAATAAATATTTGTGTTAATGCCTGCAATTCAATGCGAAACTGGCAACAGCACTTGTATTTTGGCAATTGAGCTTACCGTTACTGACATGCCGGAAATGAAAATGAGAAAGTGCTGTTGCTAACACTTGTCAAATTGATATGTTTCGTACTGAAGTTTTTAGGTCGGACACGCATCGTTCTGGACACAATGAATAGCCAGGTGTCCTATGTCCAGGGTGTTTCTGAAATAGGTAGCAAGCTTTGGAGGATGTTAATTAGATGGAATACGGAATCACATTGTAAGTAAAGCTGCGTGGTTAAGAGATAAAAATATTTGTAATAAAACTAGAAGTTGTAATTTGAAGCCGGTCCTGGCGTAAATTGGCGAGGTACAAAGAAATTGCGATAATCACTAAGCACCTCCATCAATGGAGATAATAAAAAGTACCGGTTGCGGGGCGACTACTAAAGTAAATATTAACAGCTAACTAATTGCGCTACTACATATAATAATGTTTAGACATCCATTACGATAAAAATTAATTGACTAACAATTGTGTTCATTGATTAAAGTATACTCAATATGGAATTAAAACACAAAAAATAAAAAAAAATTAACGTTACGTAAACATTAATTGGTAACTGTAATTTTATCAACTGTAAGGTAAATTTCGATGTATAATATATACCCAAGGTGCGTTCTCTTTTTTATGAGTAGTTCGCCAATAGCATTATCCTCCCATCAGAAAAAAATTAATTTACTTAACACCACGAAACATATACGTATGTATATCACTGAAATTGTTCGAAATGATTGGATTCTGAGATTACCCACGTTCCTCACATGTAAAATGTAGATTAACGGTTCCTTTTAATCTCTGTACAGCATTTATGATGATTTCCCAATTAGGAAGTTTTCACTGGGAATATCGATGACCGTACAATTCGACCATCGTATTAAGATTGACCGTAAATTAGTAATACGTTACAAAGTTCTGCCGTACTAAATGTTAGTGTAACAACTTCTATTCTGCACTGACTTATAACACTGTCACACTGACCTACTGTCCGCGACTTCGACTGAGTACCTACCTACCTATAAGTCTACAACGTTAAAAGAACAAAGAACTAGTCTAGGCTGCCTGTAACATAAACATCGTTAATCACACTTAATCCAATCTAACAATTAACAATGCGTGAGTGCAAAAATGCAGAAGAAATACAAAACGGACGCTAATGATTACCAAATGACAAATGCGGCGTTGCTTTGTCGTGTTTCCCTGCGTGATCCTACCAGGGCAAGACTGACCATTTTAAAATACGTTTTTCTCGAAAATAATGCACTTTCATCAAACATTACTTAATTTTGTTGTGTTGTAGTGCCCTATTACCTCCTGCAAGCATGCCATTTATTTGAGAAACACCCGGTATTTAAACAAAGAGCCATTTCCACACTGTCAGTACAGTAAATGTGACTACAAAAACTCCTTCATTTCCATTTATTACTATTATTACACGCCAGTGGTATAGCCAAGGGAGGGGGAAGAGAGCTTTTAATTTTGTTGCACCCAATAAGCAATTTGCTGTAAAATTGATTGACTGGTAAAAGACAAATAAAAAACAGTAAAATAGCTTATTCCTGACATCCTTCTATTCATGTAATGTAATGTCTCATCAAAAACAATTCAACCGTTTCGAAGATTAGACCGATACACAAAACGATTTTTAAAAATCTTTTCTCTCTTAATAGCAGATTTCCATTTTATTAATAATAAGGTGGATTTTCAGCTTTTCTTATCTTAACCTCCCCTCCCCTAACTGCGCTACTGTAATACGTAGATTCTGTTACTGTATTCTACTGTTTATTCTTGCATAAATAACTTTCTTTTATTTTTTTTATAGAAAAAAAAGGTGAAAAAAAATACAATATACAAATAAGATATTAAGTAGGTATACACCGACAAACAAGAAAAAGTTTGTATGTAATACGTACATATCTTCCCTAAATATGCAAGCCTACTTAAATTTAAAAACTCGATGGTCACTTAAAAAAAGTTGAAGGAATTCAAAAGTGAAATTTCAGGCTTTGTAATAACTAGTACCTAGTATTGCAAATTTCATCAACAAAGTCCTTTCGGTTATATACGAAGTAGTAGATATACAAACATCAATAATTAAAATAGAATGTCTAGACTTCCAGCGTGTACTGAATCTCCAGTCACTCCGTAAATCAAATGTATAAAATTTTTAAAAAATTAAATCCTTCTCACAAGTACAAGTGTCATGTTCAGCAGAATGCACACATTTTCAGCTTACAGTATAGATCAGAATATAATTTTCGTAAGTGTGCCGTGGTAGTATGGATCCAAACACTTCATTGTAATTATTTGCCTACAGGCTTTTATTAGAATTTTACACGTTACGTAGATATTGAAGAGTGAAATAAATGACTGCATTAGTCATAAAATAAGTGTAAAATGAACCAATTCTACCTAATTTCTTATTGACAAAATAATCTGTAATGTAATCATGGTTTAAGGTGTTCATTATGTCTGCGCCTTGTATGATGGTGCTGAAGAAATTTTAAATACACTAGGATTTGAAGAAAGGAGACTTTTAAAAGTAAGTAAAATGCAATACCGACAGGCCTATTTGACATAAGTTAATCGCGTCCAACTAATAAGCTGACGGGGCAAGCTTCCAAGAATACTAGATAGAAATCACAAGACCTGTTTGTCTCGTTTATCCAAATACGCCCAATGGGAAACAGTAGAAAAGTTACATAGAGCAAATTATAAAACTCAGAATATTGACCTAATAAGGTCTTGCCAAGCAATGAAGAGCTAGTAGTAAATATCCATGGTGAAAGTTATGTCAACATAAAAGTAGGCGAAACCCCTTTTCAACACCGTGTACTATTTGGGGAAATAGAAGGTAAGATAGTTTTGGGCTTAGATGTTCCCCGTATATATGACTTTTGACGAAGCTTCTAGAGAAGTATTGACAGTGAAGGGGGGAAACGTTCGAACTCGACTTACTTGAGTAAAACACTATTATTTCCAGAGTTGAAAGTGTGAGCACGGTAATAGGTAAATTTCAACGTATTTCGAAAGTCAGAGAAAAATGCAACCCAACTAGCAACGACAACTATGACCGTAGGTCGCTACGTTTTGTGTGGACTAGTGCCAGTTGCACACCGTAACGAAATGTAAAACCTCCCACAAAATGTAGGCGAAACAGATCAAGAAATAAATTAGTGATTAACTACAAAAAAGAGGTGGTAATCGAAGTCGTGAGAAGATGGTTGAATCTCGACATTCCAATTGTACATTGTTGTTAACCATTGTTTTCTAATTGTTGCCATTATAGACCATTAATACTTTTGGACTAGGAAATTTTGGGAAATACTATTGTTACAGAATACTGCTACGCGATTGGTCTCATAAGTTGCCGCATTCTATTATCGATTTATGCGTTTAGACGTAGAAGCTCAGGGTTTATCCGCGTTATTGAAAAGACCGATTGATATAATTTGATTTTTCTTAACAGGTTATTACATTAATATATGTAAATTAATAAAATGAAGATATTTTTGAAGTCCAAACATAGCAATACACTTCTCTTCTCAGATGCCTACTTTTACCACAGTTTTACGACGCTGCGGTGGCCAAGTGGCATGAACACTCGACTTGTACACCGCAAGGCTAAAGTGCGGCCGATGTAGTAATTTTTTTAAATTGTTTATTTTTACTGATTACTTTTTGGCGGACTTGTTTGGGGTATAGTTGTTATGTATTTCCTTTTAATTGTGTTTTATCCAATACCTAACAATAATTTTACGTTTTTCGAAAATGTCTTTATTTATTTGCATAAGCAGTGAAACAAGCAAAGTATTAACTTATTGATTGTAAAACAAAACAAACTATACCAATCACTCTGTCTTTAAGTAACGCGGGTAATCTTTGACTAATTAGGCAGCGTTATTTAGGATGCGGCAATTTAAGTGACCAATCATCGTATGGCAGTATAATTTACAAATGGTTCCGTAACGCGGCTTGTTTGATTACTTATGAAAATAAATAAATGTGGACATTTTTAAAAAAGGTAAAATTACAAATAAAAGGAGGTGTATGGCAACGACGAAATAAACACATTAAAAAAATACATCGGCTGCAAAAAGAATTGCGGGCCCTGCGCCATACAAGTCGAGCGTCCATACTCGGCTACCGCCGCTTCCTACAAGTTGATTTCAGAAAAGAGGATCGTATTGCTAAGTCTAGACTTCAAAAATATATTTATTAATTTATTTTAAGAGTTTACAAGTAATCAAGTGAATAATCTAAATTATATCAGTTTGTCGTTTGAGTAATGCGAATAAACCCTGAACTTTTACGTTTAGACGCGCGGATTGATAATAGGAGGCGAAAACTCATGTGGTCATTTACGTAGAAATATCTACAACTCATTCCTTAACGCCACTGGAACTACAATCCGCAATTGGAAGAGATTTGTTGATGAAATTATTTTATTTTTATAATATTGTCAAAATCTCACATAGTTAAAATTTCAGTATCAAACTTATTCAACTTTTCTCAAAACGTTTAATAAGCCATCAAACTTGAATGATCTTATATTTAAAAATATGTACATGTAATAACCTTCAATTTATTGTGCACTGAAGATTAAGTAACATGCATTGATGGAGTAGTTATTTATAAACTTACGCCAGTCAATGTGGCGAGTCTTTGAATTGGTTGGTAATATATTTTGTGATTATGTTGTTAAAGAAATATTTCTACTCGATACGCAAAAGGTAGGGGGTTACCTTGAGTCGATTCATTTTTTAATATATGTTCCAATACCGCGTCACTTTGGCTCTGTTTCAAAATATATTCATCGATGGAAGGCCTGGCAGAGGTATTACAAGAGCTAGGGTAGTCCATGACGAAATCGTCTAGCACATGCATAATTTAAATATAAAAAACTACAAATTACTCAAAGTAGAACTCCATCGTCAAATGTTTATTTTCGTTTTGGAAAAATATCTGTAGGTAATCCGGTGAGCAGCCAAATTCTACAATTTACTTCATGTACAACAGAAAGGAATGCAAGAAACATAGTACTTAGTCATAATTGATAAAAATGATCAGTCAATTAGATCAACTATAAATTGAACTTTAGTTGCAGAATATGCACACTTTACAAAGTACTTTAACCGATTCTATTACATTCCATTACACGTCATTTCATCACGGCAATAGTTCACTAGTATGGTACTTCATAACATTCCAATTCATCACTGTATGATAAAAATGATGAGAGGTTTTGGTTCCTTATATGCATTTTTATTGTTTATAAAATGTACAACACAGCTACATTTTATGAGATATATGTTATTTTTTACTTTACGAAGTATAACAATGGTGGTAGGCTTTCATTCCTTATGTAATTTATTATTATTTGAACTGAACAATGTATTTTCTAATTATATTAACTGCGATGTAATGAATTTTCATGGTAATGTACTGTTGTGTTAAGAAAAATTTTTCATGCTAGTGAGATGTCGCATGATGAAATGTCGTGTAATAGTCACATTAACCTTTCATTTGGTATGGCTGTATGGCAGGTATGCGACTAAATTCAGGTCAACTTTGCATTAATAAAACCAATATTGTTAGTTAGCCCCTACAAGCCAAATTTTAATTTTTTTTGACACAATCATTTGATAAGCTCAGTAAGTATCTACTAATATTTTTTAGTCTCCAGGTTCAGAACTTTGTTTTGNTTTCTAAGGATTTTTTTTGTACTTTCGTTCTATATGTTTTTCTTTTAAATCTAACAGTGCCTGAAAAAAACTTGCATGAACGCAAATTTTTATACTTTCTTGTTCGGATGAATCGATTTTGACGTATCTGGACTCATTTAATTGATACATTTCATATTTACGTTTTTATATAGAATTTTTTTTGTACTTTCGTTTTATAAGAAAAAACATTTCATACTATGTGAATTTGTTCTACACACTTTCCCTTACACGATCCTGGTGTAAAACTTCGGATGAGTTTTTTTCAGTTTCTGGCATTTTCAAACCAAATTTGCCTGTTCTACATGTATTATCGCCTGCATTGCTTGACAAAGAAATAACGTTTTTTATTATCACAGTTGATTGATTGATAGAACCTTAAATGCACCAAAGATGTGAGCCAAGCTTCCTTCAAAACCCAATAAAACCAAATTTTCTCGTTCTTACCTGGCGGATGGTCAACATCGCGTATCTTGTGGACGGAATGCCGAATTTGATGCTACCAACTCTTCATTTGGTTAATAATTCTCAATATAAAAAACAACTGCGCTAAGTGGCACCTTTTTTTCACGAAGTGCAAGGTTAAAACGCATACCTGCCGTACTAAATGATTTAAATTTACAATAAAATGATGGAGTTTTACTTTTCATTTCTACTTTAAAGGATCCATAAAACCGGGGACAGATAAACATAAAAATTAATTACCTTCAATTGTTTGTTTGTCATCGTGTATCTGAGGAGGCTCAGTGATTATAAGGTTATCAGTAGAAACAGATTGTAGGAAACTAAATGTTGTATTAGGAAAAGACTGGTGAGACTGTTTCATGTAAGACTGCCTTATTTGCAATGCTCGGACGATAAGTTGCGAAGCCTTCTCCAAATCTTCAAGAGGTACCTAAACAAGTAAAAAAAAATAATAAGCATACAGTATTCTATACATAAATCAATTTACAGGTCTAAATAATTAAACATTGGTCAACGACGTTTCTGTCGTGATTAACTTCTACTTTTTTATATACTTTATACAGGGTGTAACAGAAAGTGCCGAGCACATTACAATAATTTACAATCTGAAGCCAGTCTTGTGCGTGAATTGGCAACATAGGTGTCTACCGAATAACGTACTGGGATAAAAACTGCAACTACATAGATGGATAATGTAAACACACAAATCGATAATTAAACTTCTAAACCTTAACCGATAATCGGACGTTAAACGTTGAAAGAATAAATGGCTACTAAAATTTGGCTGTTAACATAATTACTCTGAATCACACTTAATCTAATCTAACAAATACGCAATAAATCAGCAGAGAGAGAAAGCCCAGAGTAACTGCTATTGTTATTTGGGAAAACTGAAAAACCGTTCTCATAAGAAAAAACATGTAAATGTTAGCCCAGTGAAATGCTACATTGGCAGTATATTTTGGGTAGGACAAGATTTTTCTTTCATGTGTAGGGGGGAAGGGCTGGTGTGAGTATTACACCTCGCTTTTGAGGGTTGAAAGCCCCGCATATGTTAGCTATCTTGGAAAAGACGGTGTAACAGTTTTCCTGTCAAATCTTGAAAACAGTCTTACAAAACATTTTAACTTTATTTTTGTAGGGAACTGAATTTTCTATAATTTCGGTCGAGATACTTTTTATCGTAAAACTCAAAATGGGAATAAAAAGTCAATTTGCGTCTAATGGGTGACAAGTTAAATAATGATTGGTAAGTGTAGTTTTCATTTCAAGATTATTAGTTTTACGTAACCATTTGTGATAATACCCAATATACCCATATACCTACACAAACAACAATTTTCATTGAAAAATTTTTGTTAAAAAATACATGTAACATGTGTTACAAAAAGAAATTGTAATAAATTTCAAGTCTACAATTCGTTAATTCTGAGACACGAACAATGATACAAAAAATGTAAACATACATTCCACCTATGTGTAGATACTAGGTTACTTGTATGCGTAGTAGGTTACACATTAAGGCAATGTTACACGCCACGTGAATTGCCAATCCACGCTCTGTGCAACGGGTTCGGCGCGGCCTGGAGCGGACAGGCCTGCTGTAGCGGTTTCTTTGGCACGGCGGTGGCTTGCGCGCAGAATGGCGGTCCACTCTCCACGCGCCAAGTATTTGTCATGCATTTGGCCATTTGGTCATAGATAAACCACTTTAGCTTAAACCCTTCATCTAAGCCGGTATTATTATACTTTTTATTGTTAATAAAATGGATTAACGTGTGCTGTGGACTGTATGTGTATGAATGTATAACTCGAATGAATGCCAACACGTTGCGTGGTTGCACAGGCAAAATGCAATCGTCAAGATGGCTTACAAAAATCCATGATCCTGCATATAGTCTATTCTCCCCACTCAGGGCTACCTCACAGGAAAGGTACAGGATAATTAACCAACTAGAACAATGTGTTTATAATCCTTAACACAGATGCATAACTAAATTCTTCAGCTTCATTATAAGGTATTTCGAAACTTTTAGCTACTAACCTAGCTAACTTTAAACATCCATCTAGTAACTATAGCAACTTGACCGTCCGTTAATTTTGCAAGTTGCCATATTTTCAATTTTTCATGAGGTCAACTCTTTGTTTATTGCTTCTTTCCACTCGAGCAATTCCTTTGCCTCTTTGAAAATTTTCCGTTCTTTGTAATGACCTTTTGACGGTAGACAATAAGCTGTATAAACTTCATATTCATCTAATACTATTGGTCATACAGTTTTTCTTCCTGATCTAGTTGTTGTTTCTGGTAAGGTTTCATTATGTTCATAATTTTTGTTATCTGAGGTCTCTGTGATTGATTCCCTTTCTTCATTTTCATCCTCTCAATTTGTTATTCACTAGTTTCTGTCTCGTTATCTTTTTCAGTGTTATATTCAATTATTTTAGACTGTTTTGAGGATAATTGTTCCGACTTTTCCTTACAAAATTTCAACTTGCACTCCATGACACTTTCATCATATTTGATGTCACTAGATATTGTTAATTCTTCTTCTTCGAGTATCCACAACCGATAACCATCGCAGCAGTAACTCAAATCATTTCTACCATGTCAAATTTGTGATAGTGTCATGCTCTTAGACAAAACTTTTTGTTGGTAATCTATTTAATTCATATACAGAACATTCTAGAGCCCCACTCCATAGTTGTTTTGGTATGCCTGATTCTAGAAATTTTGCCCTTATCTTATTTAACAGTGTTCGATTGATTCTCTCGGCTTTACCATTTCCTTGTGGAGTAAATGGCATTGTATAGAGTTGTTCGGAAAGTCATTTCGTTTTTTCCCGACAGAGGATTTAATTGTATTCTTTTGCACCCAACTTCACATTTAAGCCGTATAATTTTTATATGCTTTGAGAGCTCATATAGCAAGGCTTGTGTGTGAAAAATTCCAATTAATTCTACGCAGTAGTTTTTGGTTGGTGCCCTTTTAAATATGGAGAGCGATAAGCAGCATTTTCGACATATCTTACTGTTTTACTACAGAAAGGGTAAAAATGCTGTTCAAGCCAGAAAGAAATTGACTGATGTGTATGGAGAAGTTGTGTTGACAGTACGCCAGTGCCAGAACTGGTTCGCTAAATTTCGATCCGGCAATTTTGATGTCGAAGATGCACCACGTTTGGGAAGGCCGGTTGAAGCTGATAAAGACGCGATAAAGGCATTAGTTGATGTGAACCGGCGAATAACAACACGTGAGATCGGATTGAGGTTAAATTTATCAAATTCAACAGTTTATGACCACTTGAAAGGCCTGGGATTATCCTCGAAGCTCGATGTATGGGTTCCCCATGTTCTCTCAGAGAAATCTGTGTCGCCGCATTGACGTCTGCGATTCGCTTCTCAAACGTCACGAAAATGACCCGTTTTTGAAGCGCATCATCACTGGGGACGACAAATGGGTTGTATACAACAACGTCAAACGCAAGAGGTCATGGAGCAAAAAAGATGAACCGGCTCAAACCATTTCCAAAGCCGATATTCACCAAAAAAAGGTGATGCTGTCTGTTTGGTGGGATTTTAAAGGAATCGTTTTTTTTTGAGCTTTTACCGGATAACACAACGATTAATTCGGAAGTCTACTGTTATCAGCTGGACAAACTGAATGATGCACTTCAACAGAAAAGGTCAGAACTAATCAACAGGAAAGGTGTAATGTTTCACCAAGACAACGCGAGACCTCACACAAGTTTGGTCACTCGCCAAAAGCTTTTACAGCTTGAATGGGATACAATGCTACACCCACCATATTCTCCAGACCTGGCACCATCGGATTATTATTTGTTCCGGTCACTCCAAAATTTTTTAGACGGTAAAACCTTCACCTCAAATGAGGAGGTGAAAAACCTCCTCGATCAGTTTTTTGTCAGCAAAGACCAAAAATTTTATGAGCGTGGAATTATGCTACTACCAGAAAGATGGCAAAAGGTGTTGGACCAGAACGGTCAATATATAATTTAATAAAGTATTTGTTTATTATACGAAAACTGTCTTTCATTTCCATAAAAAAAAACGAAATGACATTCTAAGATTATACCCCTTTGTTTACAGAAAAAAGTAAATTTATTAGTGATATATTCACCTCCGTTATCTAAGAGCTTTTACTTTAGTTTTTTTTGTTTTTCTAATATACTATATACTCCACCAGATCTTTGCTCTCTAATTTTATAACGAGAAAGTGTGGATAGTCGTTCAATATTGTTTGGAAATATGTTGCACTGTCCACAGAAATAGGTTTAAAGGGTCTATAGGTAAATTTAATTGAATAAATGAGTCATTTTATATATGTTTTTAGCCTTTAGCTACATTCTTTTTCAACCGTTTTCTTTTCTTCTTTTTTACTTAAGATCTCATTAACTTTTAATAGATATAACCCATTCCCATATTCACATTTTAATGAAATTTTTTTTCATTTACTTCAATTTTCCTTTTATCAACAATGATTTTATGTCCTTTAGAAGTCAATTTTGAGACAGACAGTAGGTTATGTTTCATGTTAGGCACAATAAGAGCTTCAACCGATATCTTATTTCTTTGACAAATCATTTTTAATTTTCCAACTTTGTTGGTTTTTAATACCTCTCTATTAGCTATACGAATTGACACATGGTTTGTCAAGGTTTTAACATTTGTCATATACTTTTCAACAGTTTTTAACAATTGCTAGCATCAGAATCTAAAACAAAACATTTGAGCATAGATTTGCTGCAAATAATTGTATTTCTTGTTCTGCATTTTTTGCCTGCTGTTTTCTGTCTCTATTTCTATGAAAGCTACTTCTATTTTTCCAACCTCTAACTCTAAATGGTGGCTTTCCTTTATTAATGTTTTGAGGATATTTTGCTAAAAAATGTGTTAAACTACTACACCTATAACATCCTTTACTAGTCGTTCTAAAACTTGTTTCACTTTCCTTATCACTAATTTCAGTTCTTGCCTTAAATTTCAATTCTTCATATAATAACCGAGCTTTCACAAATAGTTACATTTGTGACAGTTTCTATAGCTGTTGCTAAAGTGTTTTTTTTCCGGAAGTGACAATAGTAGATGACATACCCTATCAGCCTTATTTAAGTTAGTGCCATGCTCTTTTAGTTCTCTGATAATAGTGGCGAATTTAAGAAAATGTTTTCCAGTTTTTCGTTTGTTTAAATTTTTAAAGTAATTAGCTTTCACCACAAAGCCGACTTGGTAAAGGAACTTGATCCACAAAAACTCCTTTTAATGCTTCTAACTGATCTTTTGCACATTTACAGTTTTTTATAATATCTAGATGTTTATCAGGTACACCTTGTACAATCACTGACTGCGCTCTTGAATCAGTTTTTTCCAAGCTAATTTCTCTGCTGCTGTTGCTGTTGGTTTAGAAGGAGTTGTATTTATTGCGTCTTCGCATTGTTCTCGCCTTAATATGGTCGTTATTCGGGATTACCGATTATTAAAATTTGTTGCAGATTTCTGCATGTTTTGCTAAATACCTTTCCACTGGTACTAGACTAGGACCATAACCGGTTATACTTATTGGACAGTGATAAATAAATAGCTCTATTTATTTAAACATTTAATTGGAAAATAATAACTAACCAAAACATGAAATAGAAAAATTGTACATTCCAATTAGTATATTGCTGTCTATGGATAAAAAAAAACAGAACAGTAGAGAAGTCAAAAAACATAAAGTTATTAATTCCAACAGTCTGTTGTTCTGTTTATAGTTAATGAGTTCATTGTGGTTATCGAACATGTCAGACTACGAGTCGTCTGGTGCAGAAGAAAAAACGTAACACAGCGTTTTGGATGCGGAAAAAATTAATCCCAAATTGAAAACATCCTCCTCTTTACGACAAACGCTGCAATAAAGAGTATAGCGACCGCAGTTTGAAACAAAAATTATGGGGAGAAGTATGTTATTTTGGGTCCTATATTTAGTCATACAAATGCGCAAGAACAAAAAAAAACGAAATAAAGAAAATATAAACCCAACTAAAACTAGAGGCTCTAGTAGTCTACAAGACAGCACTTCTTACTTAGTTGCCAAACCCAATTTAAATGTGCTAAATTTTACAGTTTGACTTCCACATACATACATATACACATAGATAGTATGTTTCAAAATTCTATTTACATAAGACTGCTGCAAGTCCTGTGGTCAAAATACATCGATTGTGCAGAATTTATTTTTTTTCCACATTGATTCATTGCCCGAAAGAGGGCGTCAAAAGTGCCAAAAAGTAGTTTTTCTTTGATTACTCAAAAACGTTTTATACGATTCCAATAAAATTTGATAGATATGTTTATGAAACTACTAATTGATGATTCAAAAATCAATTTTCTTAAAAATTACTTCTACCTTCAGATAAAATTAAAATCTAAGGCACTGATCATGCCTTGAACATGATTAAATGTGACCTACCCCGCTCGTATCCTCTCCTGAAACTGAGACCCTCTGAAAATGCGGCACTATATCATGGTCCTCTAAATGAATTTGATCGATTTCATCTGCTGCTCCCACTAATGATGATTCGAAGTGATTTTTCTTGTCTTCTAAAACTCTATAAATAAGAAGGAACATATCACCTCGTTTCCTTTTAAATATAATTAAGTATGTATTTGAGTGCACATATTTGCATTGTTTCCATTCAAAAATAAATGTAATTAAATATTTACGGAGAGATAAATAAATGAGCTAGTGCTTTAAAAAAAACTCAACAAACGTATACTACTTTTCGCACATTTACCCATTCTGCTTATCTTATAATAGTTTATTAGTTGCATTTAAGATAATGTGCATAAACATAACACTTTACTATAAATGATAAATGAAACCTATGTAGTTAGAAATAATGATACATTAATAAATATGTCTTTTAACGATTCATTTTAATCTAGAATTGTATTTTAATTGACATACAGGGTGCTTATTAACATAAGGCAAAACATGAAGAGGTTATTCCCTGGGTTGTTCTAATCAGAAGCGTCTATGTTACTCAGATATACTAAGATAAACGGTTTACGACATTTGCAATGTTCTAATTACCTAAATATAACGTGTGCGAATAATAAGTGTGGCCCCAGAAAATAACCCTTTAAAATTTAAAGTAGAAAAATAAGTACATTAATTAAAGGCAAGGCTTTGTTGGAATTCGCGAAGCTCAATTATTAAAAAGATTTTGTACAAATTGATAGTAAGATTTTTGCTTCAGCATTAATAATTAAAAAACATTTTTATTTATGTAAAAATTTAATTTTGTCGGTGAATTTGATTTATTTAACAAATTAAAAAACATTTTGTTTTTTTTTTATTTATGGGAAGGAATATGTTTTTTTCGTCGAATGTCGATCGTAACAAAATTTACGATTGTATATCGCAACACTCATTCAGATTGAATTGCACTGGCGACTCCAGGTGGTTAACGTGGTAGATGCAGGATTTTAGAACTGCATGATAACCTAATCCTTAAAAGTTAGATGCTATTTTTTCAACTTTGGCTAAACGTCACCGACGGAATTATCTATAAGAAAAAAATCCAACCTACATTGTCATACCAATGTCACTAGGTTGAATGTTAACCAATGCTTTTCTTGTTTACGCAAACACAGAGGATTTCATCTTTTATTCAGGTTAATTCTATCCAAATTCAAAAGTTTGCGCAAACGCGGCGAAAAACTGATCCGAATGAATCATGAGCGCCAATAAAAATGAAGGTCATCACAACGATAACACCCACTTCGTTTATGTTGTCTTCCCACCGTAATCTTATGATCTTAAGTAATCAAATAAAAGTATTCTTCGCTTAATATGTTTAATATTAAAAAAGAAAATAGTAAACGAAATCGTTTCTAATGAGCGCCCAAACTTTTATTTGTACTTATTTTTTCCTTTTTTCTTTCATTTGATATCCATATCATGGGGTACTATGAAAATTATAAATCGCCATTTTGTTACATCCACCATATTGGATAAAAATGGCGGCATTTAAGTAACCGTACATTGTCACGTGAACAAAACATGTGTGCTAAATGTCAGCTTCAGTGGAAGTGAGTGAAATATTGATTACAAAATTCCACATACCAGTGAAGTTAAATAAAAGCTTTTAAAATCGATACTACTGGGTCAAATTGCGTGCTTACCACCGTCGAAACCTAAAGTAGATTAGCAAGACGATATAGGTTTTCACGCTTGCGTAACTTGCAACTAAGGACACAGATTTACCAATTCGGGATGCTATGGCTTCACATGTAAATGTTAAATTCAAAGCTTGTTTGCTTAATCAAAAAAATTAAGTATCAACTTTAAAACATGCACAGCTAAATCTATCTTTTTGAAGTTAATCCAACAATTATCCTATTTTACTTAATACAAGATATAGTGCAAAAATTAATAAATAATTTACTAAGAAATAACCAACACTTGATGTTAATTCTAAAATCGCTTTCAAGCTTTCTTAAATCTCATTTAACAACTTGCATTTCGGATATTTCTTGCAATAAGTATAAAAATCGGTGAATATTTTGTAGGCTAACCGATACTTAATTAAAAATAACAACTTCCAAATTTGACTTTTGGCAATATATACAAAAATGTTTAAAATACATTTTTTTTGTCAGAAACAACTACTAAAAAACTACGAAATTAAATATTGTTATTCCAACAATTCTTTTCTAACTGTGTATCCAAATCGAAGTTCACTTTTTATTCAACATTTGTCAGCTGATGTGCGGCGAAATTCTAATGAAATATTAAGTAATATGTCGCCACATTTACGCATATTTCCCAATTTGGATGTAACTTACCTAAATATAAATATAGAATAATAAATCCACTGCCCTCGTGTGAAACGTTCTATCATTAAGCATATCGTAGGCGTTATTCCACCGTCGGAACTTTAGACACTTCCTATTTTTTCATAACATTCTATGATTAAATATATTTTTAAAATGCTTTTCAGAATTTTCGTGTTTCCTAATAATACATAAACAAAAGACACGGAAAACAAAACAAAACATTTTTAACGTCGTAACCGCAAATATCTAATCATTTTGCTGTTAAACATCAAGTTTGAGTTTTCTTATAATGCTTAACTTTCACAAATTGTATATTTTGCAAACATACTTGAGGCATCACGATGAATCGGTCATTTAAGATTTTCAACCATTGCTTGTTTTGTTATGTTTAAAAATTTACGAGGATGCAATTGCTTATTAGTCTCATTAAAGAGGCGCCAGTCAACTGGAACATTCTAGAAAATTCGTTAAAATTGGGAAAGCAATGCAAAAACGATTCGGAGCATTTGATTTGGCACCATATCCCTAACAATTCAGCCTTTGCCGGAATGCTAGCATACTTAACACATTTTTGCAATGTTTTTAAAAATTTGTCATAGAGTACTCTAAAACATTTTAGAATATTCAACATTTTCATTGTTTTTGATTTTTATACAAAATTCTAGAACATATGAGAATATTCGATAAATTACTTTCGAAAAGATTCAATTCATTTTTACAATATTTGAACTAGTCTTTAATAATATTTTGAAAACTTTAAAACCACGTTTTTTACTAAAGAAATCAACAACCTTATGAACAATCAATTCTTTATGTTTATCTGTTTGATATTATGTTGCTATATTATATTTTTTATTAGTTTCTCGTTATCGTAGCATTACTTTTTTACCTTACAGTATGCTTCAATTTTTTATTTTATACTTTAATTTTCTATTGGCTCGGAACTTACTTTTCATTTAGTTGTTTTTGCAAAATTAACTTTTTCTCGATTTGTTCAATTGGATATTGAGGCACTTCATACGGAGCAGATATTTCATTGGATAACTCTTGTCCTTCACTTACAAAACGAGGAGCATTAAACGTTGGACTTTCACAACCTATAAATAAAGAAATTAATGTTTAACACATATTATAAGTAAACGTTATACATATTGTTACATATAATACAAAAAAGAAATGGTTTCATAAGAACGGCATCTATTTTATAAAACATTGAAGATGCTTTTGCAAGATGGGCAATTAAAAACCAATACCTAGTGTTTATTATTGACCATTTACGCCTTAATTTGCTTCTAATTTTCCTTTGTTTTTATACATACTGAATATTTAAAGTTAAAGCTGATGTAGATAGTTATCCGTGTTTTTAACTGTCTATTACGACTTACCTTTTTTACTCGTGAATTGAAACAGATTTATTATTCTTTGCATAAAAATAAAGCACTTTACCTGTTCGATCTTCGTCGACAAAAGAATTAACCCTTAAAAAACTAGGGGAATTAGTTTCAGAAGTATCGGAAGCAACCAAAAGAACACCTCTTGAACACATTTTACGTATATGTTGTTAAATAAAATAGCATAAAGTAACCTATACAGTTTTACTGGTATATGTATTCACGCACGTTCTGATATAGCCAAGAACACGAAAATTGCTGGCAAGGTTACAAAAGATTTTGAAATAGACATAATGACAAACACAATATTTCGAATGCTTTTATGTGAATGACTATTATTTTACTTTGGTCAAAATAACTAGGTATGCGTATTGTTAAATTATTACTAAAGATAAATATCAATGCTTGTGGTAATGTAATAAAAAGCATAATGTAGAGTAAATTAAGTAAGTACACATATTGTACAATTGTTTACTTAACTGACGTTTACATTCATTACTCTATTCGAGCGATAAATATATGTAGGTTTTACATATACTTTACGTATAATGTCAAAAAAAAAAATTTGATTTGTATCAGAGGGTGAATTGAAGACGCATATCCAGTCAATTATTAAAATCAAAACTAACCACATTATTTAGACTAGTTAACTGTGAAAAGTTCAAAACGTGTACAATAATTATAAATTTATTTATCAAGCAATCTGACGCAATTTCCGCTCTGTCATGTTCATCAGTGAAAAAAATGGCTAGCTGAATTTAAGCATGGTAAGAAGAGCGTGAAAGACGGAACACAGCTCTGGAATACCTTCAACCTCCAGTACTGATGAAAATATTGGAAAAGGACTGGATTTAATTATGGAAGACCACAAATTAGAAATTGGAGAAATATATCACAGTCAACGAATTGGAGTGTAAGCGAGTTGGTGCCGCAGCTGATGCTTTAAATCGAACCGCGACTTTTGCGCAACTGTTTGGAATTATTTGAAGGTGATCCATAAAACCTATTGCAACGATTTGTTACTTTGAACGAAACAAGGGCTCATCAAAATACTTCGGAAACAAAACAGTAATCAAAACAGTGGAGAAAAGAAGACCCGATTCATCAACCTTTAAAAAGGCTAAGTCAATTTTGTCGGAAATAAGGTAGTGGCTTCAGTGTTTTGGAACTCAAAAGATGTGATTATGATTAATTATCTTAAAAAATATTTTAATAAGTTCTACCCAGTTCGACTGACCATAGGTATCTATCTATATTTAAAAAATAATTTGCTCTAATTCGTTAAAAAAGTCGATGTTATTTGCCATATATTGTAATTGTTCATCGGAATATGTTTATTCACTATCGCGAACGCAATCTTCCGCTTGAACTGCCTGAACCAATAACGAATTTGTAAATTTGGTTTGTATAAACGGTATGCTTTCTTTTAAGCCATTGTGAGCTATCAAAATGTCCTTCTACCGAATGTTCATTAGCGCCTTTGATTCTTTTAACCAATCTTGTACTAAATTAGAGATTTGTTGAACCACTTTAACACTGCGTAAATCATTTCGAAATTTAATTGGCCAATTCTAATAGTCAATAATGTTTGTTTGGGGACGTTTTGTGTCTTTTCCGTAAAAGTACTAAAGAGTCGCAGGGAAAACAGGTAATTTTGAATTACATTATATTCAAGATTTTTAAATATTTTCTCCGAAATACGTCTAATCACACTTTTTATCGCGTCTGCACATGGCTCTTACCAGCCTGTTTTGCCGCTTCAAATACTAAAGCTTGTAACCATGCTTCACTTGGAGTTTTGTTGCGTGCTAGTAGATTGGCATTGGTTGGTTACGGCTTTTCACTACATATGATATACTGTTCGTTTCAAGAAGTTAAAGATATGCCCCTTCCTTTTATTAGGATGCGCCGTAGCATAATTCTAAATTCAATCATATTTGTCTGCGAGAACTAGACAAAAGTGTACAGTATCATTTGCAAAATTATTTAAATTGCCTAGTTAAAATTTAAGAATATGCTTTATTTAAAAGCATATTTAGCCAAAAATAATAACAAGTGAATTAACTTAACGTTCTACACACCTATAAAACCTTTGCTTTGTTTTCTATTGTTAATAATAATATTGTTAATTTTTGTTTTAAGAAATTGTTAAACATTTTCGTCTAGTACTGTACAGTTCTAGCCGATCTCCTAGGACCGCCCATCGAGAGCTCTGCTTGTTCAAGCTTGTTCCAACTATTTCTGTCTTGCTTACGCCTAGTGTGTATTCTTTCTATCTTCGCGCATTTACTTCAAAGTCATAATTCTAACAAATTGAAATGGACTGTATCCTGTTGTAGACGGTTATTGCTGATGCTGATGTTGATTTCTAAACGGTTAGACAGATGACGAAAGCCATATAAAAGAAACTCGACTTAACCCCATGACCTAATACTTTTAAACCTCACGCATACGTGATCACCCCATTACAAGATATGTATTCTTTATTCGGCATTTCATTGGTCGTTTAAAAAATAAACAAAAAAGGCAAAACTGAAATCTTTTCTACGATACTTGCAAATAGTGGATAAAGTTACTATTTATTTAACAAATTACAGCTGTTAAAAACCTACCCTCCCCTTGGAAAAATATTTAACTAAGCCCATGATTATTACTGAAGTTCGCTTTTTCATTTTCCTTTTGATACCCACGGTTTCAATTACTTCCAGAAACTTCTATGCAATCCTTCGATTCTGGCAAGAACGATCTTCTCTATTCGGAAGCTTTCGATTGACATATGCTTTGTTAGAGTAACTAACAATAAACTTCCAGAAAATTCGATGAGATCCAGTGACATATTGTTTGTCAAAGTAACTCAGCATCGATAGAAACTTCCATAAAATTCTATTGGACTCTTCGATGGCGTCAGAATCGTTCTTCTTTCTCTGGGAGTTTTCCAATAATATGTTACCTTATCGCATCGGATGGATGTTATGGAATAGATTTCCAAAACCTCCTCTATCTACCGTCTACCTTTTTCAATCTCACTGCTGGCATCAAATATCACGTAATCTCAAATACCCTTCGGTTTTGTAATTCTTTTCTGACTATTTTTCAAATGATACCACTATTATTTATTAATCACTCGCTCACAACTCGCCTCCTGACACTTCTAGTTCGCCTTCAATCACCTCATAACTAGAGTTATATTGTTCGAGAAAGATTGCATAGTATAATCTGGGTACTAGAGGATTCTGACCTTCTTTGCTATATTAGCGCATCTTGGCAACCCACTATACGCTACACTTGATACCTCTTTCCGTATGGTGGATTGCCTGCAGATGATAATATTAACTGAATTAATCAGCGAATTGAAAATACTAAATGAATAAAATCTACCCGGGATAGAACCCCATCCGAGTATTATATTAATGGTACAACTAAAGGTTTAAAAAAAGTAGTTGAAGAATTAGAATTTCAGTCGTTCAGTGACAAATAAAGTTTTAAATATGTAATAAAGGTTTCTTACCAACAAATAAGGTCAGCAAGGATGCCCATGAGGTTTTCAATCACAAAGACATTTCATCAGTTTAAACAAATTTTACTAACATAACAGTGGACTACTTATATGTGGAAAACAATGTAACTGATACTGAAAAAAATCATTCGAAGTGGTCTGTATTCTGCCGAAACTGCCAGACGCGGATCTCGATTTCGATCTTTTTGGATCTCACCAGCGCGTCGCAGACAGCTCCGACAGAACACAGACCAACTTTTACCTTTTGTCTTAATAGCGCGTTTTAGAAAATTACGAAAATACGAATTCAGCAAGTACATATCCATATATTTAAATGGACCTTGTTGGAGCATACGTAATCCTAAAATGTAGCATCATACTACAGATGGTGTTTACCGCGCCATTTGTGGTATTTTCTAAAACTGATACTGAATTCACTGGGAAATATTTTGTTCATTGCTTTCTGATTCGAATATCACTAACTTATTATGAATAACAACTGATTCTTCAACTTTCTATTTCACTGGCAAGGCAAATCAATTTTTCACTATTTTACTTTTAATTTTTCTACAAACTGATAGTTGTAAATGACCACAGTTTCACGTTTTTTTCATAAAAATTATATTTCTAATCAAACATAAAAGAGGTAGGTACCTACTTTTTTGTAACATTTTTTTTCTTTACTCACTATGAAACTACTCACGATAAAATTCTTCGAATTAAGTAAATATTCAATACCTTCGTCTGCATTGGTGTTTATTCCTCGATTACTCATAAAAAATGCATGCAGCTAAAAATTAATTCTTGAAAAACCTTATTAAACTTATACTAGGTATATTTTAAAAACTTAAGAGTTTTAAATTTAACACAATATACTAAACAAATACTTTTGACTGATGTCAGGATTTGAAGGCCTACTTGTTAACCCAACTTAATGTGCACTTATTAAAAGAACAATTACATACCGAAATACTGTTCTTTTCAAATATTTAAATAAATTCTTATTACGATTATTTTTCCAATGGCATACTGGTTTTAAAAGGTGTTCTGCATCACACTACAAAAAAATAAATTTCAAATCACTGGTCTTTTACCATTTTTGATGCGATAGTTTCTAAGAACCCTCCTTTACGTACTTTAATGAAAGGATAATGAAGGGTTTCATACGTTCGAAAATTCCAGGTAAATTGAAGAAGTGTAGTCAGATGTACAGTACATGATAACAATATATTATGAATTTATTAACTTTTCGACCATTACGTATACCTACTACCAATCTGAAACCAAAAGTTCTCCACGGATAAATATATATGATACATATGGTATAGTCAAAGATTGAAACTCCGTCGCTGCTATATTAGGTTAGTCTAAGAAAACTTACAATTAGTCAAAGTCTAAACAATTATGCGCTTCAACCTTTGCCTAATCATTTTTTGACTACCTATGCCTAGATGAATCTAACTTGCACAGTCAAACACCGAAATCTATAATAAATTAGATTAAGTTCGGGTTATTTTCTTTCTAGAAAAACAAATGAAAAAGGGGCAGGAAAAAATGAATGAAGAATTAATGAGAATAAGAAAGACATGACAATGAGACAAGAAGAATTAAAAAAAAGCTCAAGAAGAATGAATGCGCATAACTCGTCTAATTTATATGTGCAATATATTACACAGAAAGAAAAGTAATTAGTTTCCTTAATAGTAACTTACTAAATCGGTTTAACCTCAAACGGAATTTAAGTGTAAATAGATCAATTGCAACTTTCTCAAAGCCCATTGGTCACAGACACCAACACCTCTACATTAGTCGAAAGGAAAATTTATTTTGCATTATTATAGAAAAAATACATTCGATTAAAAAAAAAAGTTATATCTGTTTAAATTTGTAAAATATTAAACTATTTATGATATATTTCTTCCAGAAATGGAATTAAAAACCGCAACCCTTTAAGTCGTTTAGTTTCTGAGATATTTAAAATGGCGCTAAACACTGCAAAAGTCAAATTTTCCAAGAAACGTGAAACAACTCTATAACGGTGCAACCCAAGTCCAATAAATGTTAATAAATTTGAAATTATTTTTTTATGAGAAAATCAAAAATGCAATAAAAGATAAGGGTTTCCATTTGAAATAGCGAAGTTATGGTGCATTTCCAGTATAACCGGAAGTCCGCCATATTTGAAAATACTTTTAGGTTATTAACACTTAACTCGATACAACTTTTATTTGAAATACTTTTTTGTAGGTACCTACACGAATTAGTTCGTACAATAAACAACTAGTTGACAGTGAACTTTTGTGTTTGTGACACGATATGTTTATTTAAAAGTTGATATCAGACACATCCAAAGTTTGGAGATTCTTTACTAGTTGACATCAACTTCGTTATTTTAAATGGAACAGCCTGTTTACGATTTTGAATTCTACTTATGAATTTAAGTAGACTTTCATAATGCTTTCCTAATCCCAAATTTTAAGGTTTTGGAAATATTAATTTTTTAAGAAGAAGGTAACACGGCAGTAAGTAACGTAAAAGCATGCCTATTTTACAGTTTTGGTACCTACATAAGAACACTGGAGCAATAAATCCTCAGGAGAGATATTAGGTATTTGAAAGTAGAGTAATTACATACAGTGTTAAATATTTAATACCGGATTTAGCAAACTTCGAACAATCGAAAGCTCATTTTTCCAATTGGAACACGCTGTATGTAGTTTCAAAGACTTATGCACAATTTTATTCTCTTTTGAATAGTACTACGGTTCCCTATACCAATCTGTATAAATTACTCACTGTTCTTTGAGAAAACAACTAAGATAGTTTAATTTATTAAGAAGATGGCTGTGAAATTCTTAGCAAAACTTCAAATACCAACAAGTTAATTGTTGTCACTTAAACACCCATAATACTGTTTAATACCAAATTAAATACTTTGATTCGCAATATCTCCAATTCAAAATTACTTTTTATTAGGAATGGAAAATGAAAATAGGTATTGAAATTTTGACATTCTAATTTTAGTACTTATTCAGATGATAAAACAATAAACAGAACCCACAGAGTGGTAAATGGTACATATATATAAGCCCATGATTATTACTGAAGTTCGCTTTTNATATATATATTTTTTCTTTTATTGATGCAGAAAAATACATACATATGTATATATTATATGTGTAGTAATTACCTTATGTATATGAATTCATTGTCAGACACCACTATGTATTTGCATGCCTACATCTTTAAACATATTGTCAGTACTTATGCATATTGTAGGTATATATTACTTAACGCTGAATAGACAATTTAATGGAGAAAGTAGAGGTTGATTCATAACCCGATAAATACAATAAATAATGTTTTCTTCAATAACATAACTAAGCACTTACCGTCTCTTTGTGCCTTGATCGTTTCTTCTGCTGCGTCACCATCAGTATTTGAGTAAAAACACATATGATTTTGTTTACATCCGTTAATATAAGAGCTGGCCATCGTATTTTCTGATACTTTTCAAAATATTTTAGATCGTTTAGAAATATACAATGATTCAGTCAAAAAAAATTAATCCATTTAACGACATATGCATCCAGACAACAAGCACAAACAAGAACACCACGTAAGTTGTACGGTTATGTTCCGTATTACATGCGTATTACAGCTGATTGATTATCCATGAAGTTTATTCACTAATAAGAAATGACTGAATCAATATTTTAACATTGTACCTACCCAACAAACGAAGAATTAAAATCACTTATCACCGGCTTTAATTTTGGTATGTAAAAATGTGTAATAACAGTTAATTGTAATTCTGTCTGTTATTAACGTCGTATGAAGGTAATTATTAAAATCGTTATAACACGCCGCATTAAAAGAAAAAAATTAGAAGTTGAAGTAGTTAACCCAAGTGCCCAAGCGTAAATAGTGTTGTCATTTATTCCAATTAGTATTGATTTCAATGGTGAAACTTTAACTTCTTACTGCGCGTGGCAACACACCCACATACAAAAAATCTTGGCACAGAATACTTTCAAATCAAACAATACCATTTAATATACCTACAATCTACAATTCATTTCAGATTTCAAGCTTTTATATACTTTGAATTATCATCAACTTTTGACACTGACAGTTTTTCTATGGTTTTTCTTTATCCTAAACATATCTTACAACATCTCTTACAATTAGACTTAAAGAGAGAGGGCTCGCACTCTTTAAAGCGTCTACTTATGCTTAGAGCATATATACATGGAGTGCTAGTATACCCTTGATACACGTCCGTTTGATACGGAGCTTTATTCGAAATCTCGGTTGATTAAAGTAAGGTCCGAAAAGTTAATCCCCAGGATTTTTTTGTAATTTTTCTTATTTTAAGTAACTAGCATTAGTTCATCATTTGTAAATCAGAAGTAATCGTTTGTTCCTCTTCCGTTTATTAATAAAAAATTAGACAAATTTTTACTCTCAACTTAGCTCTCCCCTTGCAGAAAATGTAACTTTTTTTGCTTTAAATTAATCAATTATTTTCTAAGATTCTTTAAGATTGTGTTCCTGTTCGAGTTTGAGGTGCTTTTTACAAATGTGGCGTACGAATGATCATGTTGCACAGCAGTTTGTTGAGGTAAAAGAAACGCTGATTTTAGGCGCTATATTGAAACTAAAATTTTTTCCATCAATACGAAGTGTGTAGTATTTTTTTTTTGCTTGGTGATGATTTTGTATGGACCGTCGTACGGAGGAGTTAACGAAGTTCGAACAGCGTCATGGCGTACGAAGCAAGGTATTGAATTTGCAAGGTCTTCGTGGACAAAAAATTTTGGGTAATGAGTGATCGCTGGTAGGTATGCGACGTAGGGAAGTGATAATTCGCTTTAACTTTGCGGCGAGTTCTTTGGTGTTAATAGGTTATTAGCCCGACTTTGAAGAATTCGGTAGTCTGAGGCAGGCGACCAATGTACCCTTAAGAGTTCGGTGAAACCGTTCGATGCAACCATTCGCCTGAGTGTGGTAAGTAGTGGTTCGTGTGTGTTTCAAACCCAGAAATCAAGAAAGTTGTTTGAAAAGATCTGATTGTTTACCAAGGTCTGTTATGGTTGCAGGAATGCCAAAGCTAGCTATCTATTGGTTGAAGATGGCTTCAGCAACAGTTGCTGCAGTGATGTCTGGTATTGGAATTGCCTCAGGCCATCTAGTGAAGCGATCAATAGCAGTGATATAGTATCGGAATCCTCAGTTGATTGGTAATGGTCCAATGATGTCAACGTGTATGTGCTGGGAACGTGTGTCGGGGTATTAATTTTCTGAAGTTGACTTCGAGTGTGACGTGTAGTTTTTGATCTTTGACAGGGTATGCATTCTCGTGTCCACTGTGCACAAGCCAGAGAATGGAACTTCTCCAATATAATACGTCGACGGACGTATTTTATTCCCTTCAACATCGCAGATAATTACTCCGTCAGTAAGTGGTAAATGGACTGGCAGAATTAAGAGGCCAGTTTTGGAGTCGTTTAATAAGCTTTGCAATTCTAAGTCATTACGCTGTTTAGCGACCATTACAGTGTAGTCGAGCTCGACTTGGTGATTGATTGCGTCAATTTCCATTCCGGGGAGGCTTTCTGCAACACTATTGTCCAGGCCATGAATATAGCGGACATGAGTGGGGAACTGACTTATAAAGTTAAGATGTTTGTGCTGGCGCGGTAAGCTTTTATTTGGTCGCTGAAAAAATGCATAGTTTTGTTCAATTAAAATGGTAGTTTGAATTTAATTATCTACAATAAATATTCGAGAAAAGTCAGTTCAAGCCAGTTTACCACCAAACCGTTCTGTTCAGTAACATAACTAAAGTTTGTGTAAATTAATTACATTTAGAGATATATTTGTATATATAATGTATTATTTCGCGATAAAGGTTAAATGATGGCCCCCACCCCCCAATGGGGTGGGGATGGGGGGATCGAAAGAGGCGGTCTCCCCCACCACTGTACCATAAAAAGTTCGTGGCGGTCTCACCCCCATAAAAAGTTATAGGGGTTCAAAGTTAATAAATATGCCAATTTTTATACATTTTTATGCATGTAAATATTTATATAGTCATTCTTAAACAATATTCAAAGGTAAAACTAATGGAAAAATACATAAAAATATTGAGAAAGTTATATAAAACATTAATTAGATGTCTTTATCAATAAGTTAGGTTAGGTTAGGTTAGGTTATCAGATATTGTTCAAGTGACCACCCTCTTTCGATCCCCCACGTCCACCCGCTTGAAAATATTTTTTTTATTGAATTTTATTTGAATTATAGTGTATGAAAATTGTCAAAATAATAAACTTTCAACCCCCATAACTTTTTATGGGGGTGAGACCGCCGCAAATTTTTATGGGGTTTTACTCAGGTGACCACCCTACCCCCATCCCCATGTAATCCCCATAACTTTTTATGAGGGTGAGACCGCCAAGAACTTTTTTAGGTACAGTGGTGGGGGAGACCTCCTCTTTTGATCCCACCATCTAGACGTTTACCTATTTCGCAATAAAAAACGGAGTATTGAAGAAGTATATGTTTTGATGCCACTAGAAAATCGCTTGACCGACGCGACGTAACCAATCAAAATTCTAGAAAAAAGACAACATTAGTTGTCCAGTAGCGCGACCTACGATCACATTGTCTCACACGTTTCTGTCTGTATTTACTTCATAGCTAGATAGAGAAAGTGCAGTCCATTCTTTATGTCTATGGTTCTCATACCTAATAGAAATAACCTCATTAATCCTTTGAATAACAAATCTCTTATCATAGATTATACTCTTGTGATTTGTTATTTAATATATAACAGTTGAAATTTTTTTGATAAAGAATTGCAGTTAAAAAAAAAACAAAAGAAATTGCTTTACAGTGTAATTTATAGATAATTAGTGAAACCAACATGAAAACTAGATTTAATTCTTACGACATTGTTTGTGTTGTAGCAGAATTACAGAAGTATAACATTTTATTATTTCACTGATCATTGCATTTATATTTAATAATTTTTAAGAATCATAGGAATGAGAGTAAATAACATATACGATGTTGATAACAAGACTTATTTAATAAAACTTCACAAAGGTGACGAGAAAAGGTTGCTTCTACTTGAATCTGGAATTCGAATACATATTACTAATTTTGAATGGCCCAAGAATAATAGTCCTTCAGGTTTTAGTATGAAGGTAAATCACATTTAACTGCATTTAATTGTGTAGTATCTGAACATTGTTTACTTTGTAGTTACGTAAACATCTGAAAAACAAACGGATTGAACTTGTGCAGCAAATGGAAAGAGACAGAATTATAATTTTAAAGTTTGGAAGTGGAGAAGCAGCATACTCTGTGATTTTAGAGCTTTTTGATAGGGGGAACATTATTTTAGCAGATTATGAAATGACAATTGTTTCTGTTTTAAGACCGCACATTGAAGAAGATAAAGTTAAGTTTGTAGCTCATGAAAAGTACCCTGAAAGAAGAGTAAAAGATAATACATTTGATGCTGACGTGTTAAAGCACAATTTAGAAAATAAGAATAATCAATCTTTAAAAAAAGCTCTTCTACCAATGCTCGGTGAGTTACATAACTGAATTTATAGTATATAAAACCTGAATAGTAAGACAATCCATGTCTACTGTTCTTTTCTGTTTTGTAGATTATGGTTTACCTCTTATTGAACATGTTCTTATAAAGTATAAGTTAGAAGACACGAAAATTGGAAAAAACTTTGATATCAGTAACAATACTCATATTGAAAATTTAATGCTAGCACTACAAGAAGCTGAAGAAATTGTAACTCAAGCGAAAAATAAACAACATTCAAAGGTTAGTGACTTTATTTGTATTTTGTACAATGACAATGTGGAAAAATTAATGGACTCTAGAAAAATATAACTTTTTTACTTACTGTAGAGTATTGCTTAGGGTGGAGACAGTTGTTTGAAGGTGGGATAGGCTCTTTTTTTATGTATATGTTAATATCAAAGTTGTTCAAAAAGACCAATGCTAGCTGTGGTTGTTAGTATAAAACAGCCATGGCTAGCAGTGGTCGCAGTCCGCCTGTCTCCTCCACATGAATTCAAGTAGATTTTTATGCAAAAATTATATATAACTACCTACTACATAAACATGAAAAATAAAGTTTAATTGGGTACAATACTTTACTTAAATTTGACAAATAAATTTTTATTTATTGTACAGTACTTGGCAGTACACTTCGTTTATAGTGTTATGTAGTATAATTTTATAAAACAATTTTATAAATATAATGTAATTTTAAGTAGGTTCAAAATGTAAATAAATATAAATATCATTAACGGTAGCATCTGCAGACTGCAGATTATGCTTATTGGGAGGTATAAGTGAGCAGAATTTTTTTGGCATGATAAGTAAACATTTATTTTTCAAGATTATTTTTAAAATACATTTGGTGCTAAAGTATTAAACCACAATAAGAGACTGTGATACGGCCACGGCTAGCAATGGCCATTTTGAAAACAATAAAACGACTGCTAGCCGTGGACGTTGTTGGACATTGATTCTAACTATATGTATATTGATAAGAAAGTGATCTATCACTTGTCATTATACAACCACGTCATCTAAAATAGGCAGCAGGGTTGAGATGACTTAAATCAGTTGATTTTATTTCATAATTTCGTAAAATGAAATCATGATCAATTTTAGAAAATGAAATCATCGATTTTTGATTTAAAAAAAACAATTTTTATCAAGGCTGAGTGGCAAAAGTGGTTACCTAACACACGGTCGGGTTAGGTATCATATTCTGCCGATACCACCATTTTTTCTTCCTTTAAGATAATTCAGTACACAACTATTTTGACTTCATTGTGTTTATTAGGAATAATGTGTCAGTCGAATACAACTGAAAACAACAGCCACCTCAAAATTGGCGCCGGTAGTCACATCGTGGCGCAACTTCGGCTAGTTTGATGCCATTGAAATTGGTATTGTACATCATGTATACAATGATGTTCCCACTGAGTAAAGAGCGGGTCATCTGGAATGTTACTTTTACGCCGTAATCTGGTTACTTAAGACATTAAAGTTACGTTGTGTTGTGTGAATATGAAATATTCTTTTGTACGTTACGTAGTAAACTCACGTAAATAACTTACGGTAACGTTCTACGTCACATAGATTCGCAAATTGGCTATAAAATGAAACATATCATTCAGTAGGTACTTGCCATGCCATATATGAGCACAAAACAAAAATCATTTATATATGTTGCTGTTAAACCAGATAAGAAAGTAAAAGGAAAATATTGATCTTAACTGAAGATCGACCTCAAGCGATTATTAGTTTTAATAATTACTTTCGTTCGTCTCCATCTCATTTTCTAGCTGAATTCGGAGAGCATTATCCAAACTGCGTCGTGTTTTCATTTCATTCATCGACGAATTTTTAATCACTGACCAATCGTTTCAAGAATCGATTATTTAAGAAAACGAAGCAAACCAGCTTTTAGGGCATTTTGTTATCCGTTTTTTTTATCTAATAATAATTGGTATAGTTAAGCCCTCGAATCGCAAAAGGTGTAAATCATTAACAGCTTAATTTACCAATCATAGAGACAGTTACCCTACGCCCGTCCCCAAAGGTTAAGTATTGTAATGTTCGTGGGCTTAACAAAATTAACTTCGAAGACTGATAACGACAAAAACTATTTATTTACACTAATTATTAAAGAACTTAAAAACACTATTAAATTATTACTAAACTTAGGTTATGAATTATTCTATTTATTTACACTACTGTTGATATATCACTATTCACTGCGTTATTTATTTCACTGCCATCACTGTCAATTTATTTCTCGATTCACTTCTGCAACGGTCAATTTATTTCTTCCTCTCTCGGCGATCGTCTGTTCCTTTAAATACTCTTTTATTTACTTTCGGGACCCTTCTCGAAACGTCCGGATAGTTTCTTTTTTCTTTGAACTGTTTAGCTGCTTTCTCAGAACGCAGGTACGACACACACATTTACAAATACGGCGCACATGAAGAAAGGCGCTTGCCGCTAGTCGGCGAATCGATAAGCCGTTCATGCACACGTGTGCCCGATCGCACACAAACACACTCGTGCTCGCTACCGTATGATACAACTTGGCAATTTAAATAGTATAATAGTGTAAAACAGATTTGAAATGGGAAATTCAGATGAAACTTTAATACTTTTTGCGACTAGAGTCGTTGGTCTATCTATACTTCTTTTTGATAATACCGTGTATCACTTCAACTGGTAATTGAACTTTTGTCACACAACAAGAATAATTTGATTCATTACAATTCAGCTAAGAGCGGCTACCTTTGAGTGCGGGGATATGTGATTCAAAATCTCGCTGCTCTAAGTATTTCGTTACATCACGAAAACCTTTTCAAAAACAAATTTATCGTCTTTACGAAGTAGTTTCATTAATCCCGATGCTGATGTATCTATAATATCGCGCATAATTTTTACATCGTTGTCATTTCCCGAACAAGAACCTAACAAATTATATAAGGTTTATAGAGTGGTACCTTTTTCCTGAATATGATTTGTACTGGTACTCGTTGTTGGAACTTTTTGGATTTGAACCATCACAGATCAAAATCAACTGATCTTCTGATGTATTGAAAAGTTCTTTTGCAATCTTGATGGTTTCGTTTTATATCCGATTATCTCTATTAATATTATTTAGTCCAAAAAGAAAAGGAGAATCATCTTTTTCAAATGCATTTGATACATGAAATATGCTCATATAAATCTAAGAAAGATGAAATATCATTTGTTTGTGTGGTGCGAGTCGTTTAATAAAAGCAACGTTTTGTGAATATTTATCTTTATAGAAAGTATTCTCTAATTCTCTAATTCAAATTTATTTGCAACATTCGACTTTTATTAGAAAATCTTGTTGATTCACGAAGAGAAAAATTGTGGAAAAATTACCATGCTTGTCACTATAAAGTGAGTGCAAGAAACATGTATTGACAAAATTCAATATTAGTCCAATAATTTTTGTAAGAAAACCTTATAAACTTTACTAGAAAGCATAGGAACTTTTACTGTTCTAATATGGAAACTTTTTAATTGTCAGTCAAAAGCAACCGCATTATGAGATAGCAATTCTTTAGGTAACCTAAAACCTGCTTTTTCTTTCTTCTAGACCTACTTTCATTTCTTCTTAACCCGCTTTCATTGCTTCTTGACCTTATTTAATAAATGTCACGTAATGAACGCCTTCTTCACTATTACTGAATTTATTTAACTATTTGCTCTTTGTAATTCATCATCATCATAAGTCGTTAGTCCTAAGACTGGTTGGGCACGTACCTCCACTCTTACCTATCCTGAGCTAAACTTCGCATTTCTCTAAAACTAGAACAACCCACATCTTTAACTATTTGCGAACAGTAATCTACTCTAGGTCTACCTCTACCCCTCCTAACTCTTGTTTCTGCTTCTAATATGTCTCTCACTAGACCTTCTTGCCTGAGAAGGTGTCCTACCAACCTATCTCGTTTATTTCTTATTGATTTCCATAGTTCTCCTATTCTTTCTAATACCTCTTCATTTCTAACCTTTTCTATTCACAGTATCCTCATCATTCACCTATAACACCATATTTAGAACCCTTCTAATATTTTCTTTTCCGCCGCGCCCACTGTCCATATTCTCGAGTATAGAAGTGACTTCTTTTTATTAAAGGTGCCACGACCCTGTGCTATCCTCTGCTTTATATCCCTACTACTCCTTCCGTCCTGACTTATCTGATTTCCTAGGTATCTAAAATCAGCAATTTCTTCTAATTTTCCGTCTTCTATCTTCATATTCGCTGTTTCCCTACTTTTTCTTCCCTTGCGTACCAGTATTTTAGTTTTACTTTCTTTGTAATTAAGACTACTATTATTAATTCACCACTATTTCAACACGCTCGAAGTAACTAACTCGTTTGACTTTGTAGTAACTATTTATACAGGGGCTGGACATGTTCTAGAATCCTTCAGAATATGGCGTCTAGAAAATGTAGTTTTCTCTGCCACTATGTATGTTGGATTGGCTACATGTATGTGACAGTATATTTCACCGATGTATTAGAAGCATTTTGGACTAAATACTATTAATCGAGATAATCTGATACAAAGTGAAACCACCAAGATTGTAAAAGAATTTAGTTAGACATCAAAAAATTCCAACAACGAGTACCAGTACAAATCATATTCAGTCCAGAAAAAGGTACCACTGTGTAATTCTTTTATAATTTGTAAAAGATATCTTGTAGACATCATATAGGTTCTTATTTGGGAAATGACAATGAATAATTATGCGCGACATTTTAAATTCATCAGCATCGGTATTAATGAAACTACTTCGTAAAAACGATAAGTTGTTGTTTTTGACAGTTTTCATGATGTCACGGAATATTCAGAGCAGCAAGGTTTTGAAGCATATCCTCGCACTCAAAGGTAATCGTTTTCAGTTGAATGGTAAAGAATCAAATTATTTTCCTTATGTGACAAAAGTTAGATGATCAGTAGAAGTGATACACGGTATTATCGAAAAAAAGTACCAATTACTACTAGTTAAAAAAATGGATAACAAAATGACCCAAAAGCTGGTTCACTTTGTAAGGTCACTTGTTTCCTAAATAATCGATTCGAAAAACAATTGGTCAACGGTCAATAATTCACCGATGAAATACTGATGTAAGTATATAAAACCATGGTGCAGTTTAGATACTACACTCCATATTCAGCTCGAAAATGAAAGATGGAGACGAAAGAAAGTAATTATTAAAACCAAAAATCGATTGTGGCCAGTTTTCGACCAAGATCAATCTTCTGTTACTTTTGTACCTGCTTTATCAACTGTATATACATATGTATATTATAGATTGATATGACAATTTATAAAAAAAATGAAGAGGTGTTATGTCAAAAAAGGCAAAAAAGTAGCCGTGGTCGTTTGAAGAGTAGTATAAAATGGCCACGGCTTGCAGTTATCGTTTTATTATGTTCTGAAACGATCTTTACGTATTGCTAGCTGTAGTCGCTTCACAATGTACAAAGTCTGCGTAGCCTTTCCCCAGGTTTTAGCGTTACTTTAGGAGTTTACACAATGTTATATAAAAGCTTAAAAGTAAATGTTTATTTGCCACACAATATTTGATATTACATTTCAAAATATTTTATGTAATATATAAAAATGTAATTAATATATAACATTAGAGTACAATCACTATTTCTTTTTACAAGAGGTGTCACTTCGTATTACATTGTACATTAGTTTGTCGACACTTACGTTTTTTTTATCCTTACTATATTTATAAAGTTTTATTATAAAATTATACTATATTTATAACATGTACTGTCAAGTCATGT